CAGGGAAAGATTCTCCCCCCAGAGGTGTTTGGGCACTGAACAGCTCCCAGGGCAGTGTCACAGCCCCAAGGTGACAGAGCTCAGGAGTGTTTGGCCAATGCTCTCAGCACAGATTTTTGGGTGTCTGTGCAGGGACAGGAGTTGGACTGATGATCCTTGTGGGTCCTTCCAGCTCAGGACATTCTGTGGTTCTCTGAACTGAGCAGTTCTGGTGGTGCATGAGAACAGGAGACCACGGGTGTCTCTCCCTCTTGGACTGGGCACACGTCTGCTGACACTGTTTCAGAGGCAGGTTTGAACATGAAGCATTTTCAAGGATTCCACTTCTGCCTCTGCAATATTTTGTCATTAATGATGCATTTCCTCACCTCAGTTTGCACCAGCCTCGAAAAAACACCTTCAGCACAAACTGCTGGTGATAAAACAGTGGATGCAACTGACTGGTTAGGTAACACATGGTGTTCATCAAACAGTATCCAAAGAGATTTGCGTGTGAATCACAAACGTTCATAACTTGGGTACCTGAATTATAAGTTATAACAAGTCTCTTTCTCTCCAGTAAATAGTGGTGACCTGTTGGTTGTGCTGCAGTTGCACTTATATCCCTCAGGCACAAATTGGAATACAGCAGCAGGGCCATAAGGCAAGAAAAGAGAGAATCTCAGTCCCCCAAACTTCAGTGTAGGCAAATACAGAGGGAAAATCAGTCTGGAATATACAGAATAACAAAGGGGAGATGCTCTGAAAGCACAGACTCTTGCCTAGCCCCTGTGGATTCCCATTGTGGCTTTTCACTGCAGTTTAGTCCTGTCTCACTCACATTCTCCCCCCTCTGTTCTTCAGGAGGGACTGAGCCCTCAGCAGTTCCTGCTTTCTAATTTATCCACTAAAAGGGGTTTGCACCCGCTCAAGGCAATGTCTGATGTGAAGAAATGCTGTTCTGACACAATATTCCAGTGGCTGGGCAGGCTGAGGATGGAATGACTCTTTCAAGGGATCAGAACAGCTTAGCAGAGACAAACCATGTGCTGAGAAAAGCTTGGGAGTTGTTTGAAACAGGTCACAGTGCCTAACAACAATCAGGGAGCGAGCAGTAAATAAGATACTCAGGCAGTGAAAGCACAAAGGCCTCCAGAGTAATTAGTTCAGTGGGGAAGGGAATGAAAGGAAATACAAAGGAAGGTGAGGATTTTCCAGCTGCATTGGGGTCTGTGTGGGTGACGGATGAGAAAGCAAAGCCCAGCAGAGTCTTAAGGTGCTGCACTTCAATGCCAGCTCCAAAGAGCCAAGGGAAATGCTGCCCCAGCTGCCCCAACCTCCCTCAGAGCCACGACTTTCCACCCTGGGGGGTTCAGAGGGGTCACACTTTATCCCCTCCATTTGTCTTTCAGACAAGGGACCTGTGGTGTGGAAGGCAATGGGAATATTCCCTTTAATGGGCTTTGGCTTGAGCTCTAACAAATGGTTTCAAAAGAAGCTGTGAAATTCAGGTCTCACCTGCTGAAGGGTTTGCTGAAAGCCATTACTTTTCACATTTTAGGCTGTGTGAAGGCTATAGATAATAATTCTGAGCAGCTGCATCAGAAGACAAGGTAATTCCAAGTACTGGGACAAGGCAGAGAAGTTTAACTTGTCCAGTACAATGTAAGTAGAATATTTTGTCTGCCAGGAAAGCTGTACTTCCCTCAGTAAGGAAGTAAGTCCTGTCAAGGGACAAAAAGCACAAGATCTGGAGCAGATCTGATAACTGCATCCTTGAGAGAGAAGGAGGAGAAGGAAGAACTCAGGACACAGCTGTTGATAAAGCCCTTGTTGCTCCAAGGGATTGCTTAAGCACAGCCTAACTCTGAACTGGCATCTCTGGCTTACAAAGTGCTTCAATCCTTCTCAGGGTGGTGCTGCTGCCTCTGCTCCTGCCTGAACCACACAGGGCTTACCTCGGGCTGAGCATCTCTATTAAACCAAGTTGCTGTGAGGAAAAAGAGAAGAAAATCCAGTTCTATATGTTTATACAAAGTTCCTGCAGGCATGGGCAAATTAGGAATACCCGGAAATATCATTCCATATGGAATCTCTGACTGGTTTGGGTTGGAAGGACCTCAAAGGTCATCTCATTCCACCCTTCCAGAGGAAGGACACCTCCCCCAGCCCAGGCTGCTCCAACCCCATCCAGCCTGGCCTGGAACACTCCAGGGATGAGGAATCCACAGCCACAGCTGCTCTGGGCACCCTGTGCCAGTACCTCAGCACCTCACTGGGAACAATTCCTTGCCAATATCTAATCTAAACTGTCCCTCTTTAATTTAAATCCATTACACATATTCTTATCACATAAATCCATGGCACTGAGAGGCTCTGAGTGGCTCCATCAGTGGGTGAGATGAGCATCCCATGCAGAAAGGGAAAACAGAGTGTCCCCAGGGCCTGCTGGAGTCAGAGCTCCCTGTGGTGCCCAGAGAGCAGAGCTTGCAAGGCTCCTGCAGAAGACACGAGGCTGGGTAGAAGGGAGAGCTCATTAAAACTGTCACACAGACTTTGCAAGCAAAGAACCTGAGAACTCAAGCAGGGCTGCTGGGTACAGCTTTTAATTAACCAGGCCAAACAAAGCACCTCCAAACGGGTTGGCTCATGTGAACAGAGGATTGTTGATGGCTATTTGCTTTGATCTGAAGGCATGAAAGGGTAATATGTATTTAACAAGGCTGATGGCAAAATAATATCTGAGGAAAGGAAGAGGTGTTGAGCCATTAGATGTGAAAGCACAGCAGCTTTGAGCAGGCTGTGCTGTGCCAGGCTGGTGTGGGGAGAGCTGGGGGTTCCCTCAGGGACATGGAACACGTCGATTTGGTCTGAAATGCCTCTCAAATCCCATCCCAAACCAGCTGAGCTGCACTGGTGTAAAGCTGGGGGTGAATGAAGACTAGCTCTGCAGGGCAGGTAACTGGGCAAGGGCAGGAGAGAACTCCTTTCCAAAGAATGCTGGAAAGGAGTGCTGGAAGGGCCCTGGCTGTGTCAGCAGTGTGCCCTGGCAGCAGGAGGGACACTGTGCTGGGCATCAGGCATGGCCAGGGCAGAGGGAGAGGATTGTCCTGCTCTGCTCTGCGCTGGGGCAGCCTCACCTGGAACACTGTTTGGGGCACCACAGTGTAAGGAGAACCTAAAGTGACTGGAGAGTGTCCAAAGGAGACACCAAAGATGGTGAAGGGCCCTGAGGGGAAGCCACGTGAGGAGAGGCTGAGGCACTTGGTGTGTTCAGCTGGAGAGGAGACTGAGGGGAGAACTCATGGCTGGGTACAACTCCCACACGAGGGACAGTGCAGGGACAGGACACAGGGAATGGCCTGAAGTTGTGTCAGGGGAGGTTTGGGCTGGATACCAGGACAAGGTTCTCCCCCAGA